CATTCCTTACCACATTCTTAGGCTCACCTAGAATCAGCAACAGCAAGTGTCAAATCGTTCTCCATTGGGTCACACACGAGTCACCTAGGGAGCTTTAAATCTCTAAGGGCCGGACCTATGCCTCACATTATTTTTAGGAAGTTTCTGGGGGACTGTGACCTGAAGCCAGGACTGGGACACTTTCTTAGGTTGGTTTCTCTGTGTTCCCTGCCCTATCTGTGGACGAGAGAGGCATGTAGGCAACTCTGACCCAAACCCAGGGACTCCCTGGAGAACTGAAGGAAGAGGTAGGTTCATCAGGTGGGACAGAGACAAAACCCAGAAAAAAGCAAGGGATCTACACCTCATTCTTGAGGCCTCCTGCTCTGAAGAGAGCTGAAGAGCTACGGAAGGGCTTCAGTCCCTGTAATGGGCAGCTCTTAATTGGGGACTGGTGGGCCAAATTAACTCAGGATTTGGTTAGTGGGGTATGTGTACACTTCTCTGAGAAAGCGAGGGTCCATCCAGTAAAATTTGGCAGGGGACAGTGCTGCGGACTGAATCCAGGGCCTTGCACATGCTAGATGAGTGCTCTATTACTGAGCTATATCTCCAGTCTGCATTAAATATTAAGAACTATTGCTCTAGGGCTGGGTTGTAGCTCAGTGGTAGAGCGCTCACCTAGCATGCATGAGGCACTGGGTTTGATCCTTAGCACTGCATAAAAATAAAATAAAGGGCTGGGGATGTGGCTCAAGCGGTAGCACGCTTGCCTGGCATGTGTGCGGCCCGGGTTCGATCCCCAGCACCACATACAAACAACGATGTTGTGTCCGCTGAGAAATGGAATATAAATATTAAAAAATTCTCTCTCTCTCTCTCTCTTTTTTTTTAAGAGAGAGTGAGAGACAGAGAGAGAGAGAGAGTGAGAGAGAATTTTTTTTAATATTTATTTTTTAGTTTTCGGCAGGCACAACATCTTTGTTTGTATGTGGTGCTGAGGATCGAACTCGGGCCGCACGCATGCCAGGCGAGCGCGCTACCGCTTGAGCCACATCCCCAGCCCTCTCTCTCTCTCTTTCTTAAAAAAAAAATAAAGATATTGTGTCCACTTATAACTAAAAAATAAATGTTAAAAAAAAAAAAAAGAACTATTGCTCTAGAATGTGCTGGCTCCCAAAGAAAGTAGTATGCTTGTCTATGTTCTGCCAACTTTGACACTTTTTTTCAGAGCCTAAAGATGTACCTCAAAAGGACTTAGAACAACCCCTTCATTGACTAGATAAGGATCCTCAGACTCAAGAGCAGTATGAGTTAATGGTAGAGCTAGATCTAGAACTTTGATGTGTTATGCTTCATAACAAGTTCAATCACCCAGCAGGGCATCATCTCCCATAGTGACTGGTCATCAGAAAAATTTGGGTATTTTTCCCCAAGACCATCCTCTCAGGGTGCTCCTTTAGTGGGTCTGGGGGGACAGTGAGGGGGCCAGGAATCTGAATTTTAAGTTACTGCCCATCCTGGKGGATTCTGATGATGATGCAAGTTGGAAAACCCAAGTGAATGGAAAGGCCAATAATGAACAGAGGAAAAGAAATAAGGGAGGAGCAATTTCTCCCAAGAGACAAATAAGGTGAAAGGGGTGGGGGATTCTATTTGAGGGCAAGAGTGAGGCAGGAGACTGCTGTATTAGTCTTGGAGCCCTCATGTCTATTWGGCAGAGGCATTCCATTCAAAGCCCAACAGAATTTACCTGTGATCACTTCTCTCTCAAGTCACRCTCTACTCCCATCCTGGTGGGCTTTCTCCCTTTCTTCGTAACAAGGTAGGCAGAACCGCAGCCAAACATACTACTTTCTTTGGGGGCCCCAAAACCTTCTTTTAGATTAACAGTCCTTTTTAAAAAAAAATTTTTTTTTAGTTATAGACAGACAAAACACCCAGCGCCTTCCACATTCGAGGCGAGCACTCTACCACTGAGCTATAACCTCAGCCCCAGAATAACAGTTCTTAATATTTTAATGCAGGAAGGAAAGAAGCAAGCAAACCAGTCAGTGAGCACATCAAGATTGGAGTAGAGCTTGATTTGATAGAGAAATGATCACAGGTAATTTCTTTCCTTTCCCTCTCTTCCCTCCTGTAGTTTTCATTACTCCCCTAACCATGTAAGTACCAGCTTGTTATAAAAATTCTTATTGGGCAGGGATTGTGGCTCAGTGGCAGAGCACTTGTCTTGCCCATGTGAGGCACTGGGTTCGATCCTCAGCACCACATAAAAATAAACAAAATAAAGATAAAACAAAACAAAACAAAATTCTTACCACCTGATATGGGGATATAGAGAAAGGCCTTGATTCATGTACTTGTCATTCAATTTATTGCCCAGCAGTTCTCAGCCCTGGCAAGCCATTAATAACAAGGCATWTAAGTATGTGCTAAATATGGAATGGTATGAAATTATTTTGATAAGTGAACAAAGCAAACTGGTTAATACACATATCTGGCTATATTTGTTTAAACAACTTTTTAAAAAATTTTCTTTTTTTTGGTAGTTGTAGATGGACAGACTGCCTTTATTTTATTTGTCTCTTTTTATATGGTGCTGAGGATTGAACCCGGTGCATTACATATGCTAGGCAAGCGCTCTGSCCCAGCCCTTAAAACACCTTAAAGCAAGAAGGAGAATAAGTTTGTAGCTATATATGCACAGAATCCATCTCACAAAACATAACACAAGAAGGTGGGAACATGGGAGTCTGAAAAGGAGACCTCACTTTTCACCTCCTGCATGGTTTGATTTTTACTACAAGTTCTAAAAACAAAAGCAAAGACTGAAAATGCTCTTGAATATATCAATAGCAATAAGCACCACTAGCGGTTCTGATACGCAGACAAAACTGGTACCCCAAAATTATCCAACTGCCTTCATGGATGAAGTGGTAGAAGGTTATGTGAYAAAGCTGTATAAGACACTAGCCTGTCCCTAAAACGCCCCCATGCTGACAACAGGGTCTTAGCACAAACTCCTGCCCCTGGTGCTAAAGAGGGGAGCCCTCCCTAGTAGGGAGGCTGAGTCTTGTGCCTGCTGCAGCTGAGCTGGGTTCTTGCTGCTCTGTCTGCCAGTCTGGGAATTAGGCTGATATGGCTCCTGGTCTAAGTAWCTGCCTTCCCCTATAACCACTGCACTTCTGTGACTTACACATAAAAATGCAATAAGAAATAAAGCTCACTGCGCTGGGGCTAAGTGGTAGAGCACTTGCTTAGCAGTGTGAGGCACTGGGTTTGATGCACAGCACCACATAAAAATGAATAAATAAAGGTATTGTGTCTATCCACAACTAAAAATATATACATCTTTTAAAAAAGAAAGAAAGAAAGAAAAAGAAAAGAAAGAAAATAGAAAGAAAGATGACTATTGCTAAGATGGGTGGGCCTGGGGAACCAAGGGAGGCCAGGGAGCTCTGTGGCTCTCCAAACTCCAATATTAGAAGCCCATGCTGGTTTCCTCACCTTTAAACATGGGATAATAATAGTACCTACAAGACTGGTTGTGAGGACCAATTGAATTACTGACAATAAAAACAACAGCTGACAGTCACTGAGTGTTTACCACATGCCAGCCACTGTTCTAGGAGCTCTACACGTGTTACTGACTCCTCAAAAGTATTCTAAAAGGTCAATATAAGTATAATTTTGACTTTAAGATGACAGAATTGAGGCATGRAGAGGTTAAATTACTCGGTTACATGGCAAGTGAAAACTGTAATTTAAACCTAGACAATAAGAATTGAGAGCCACCAGAGAACACTGCTTTCCAAGTTAATAAATAGAAAGTAAAGGGTACTTGGGGACAACCTTCTCAAGACCCCTCCCTTGTGGGACCTTTGCTTCCTTTCTGTTTCAAAAATAAATTATATTACTTTGCTCTAAATAAATTTAAAAATGGTACCTCCTTGATGTATACTCAAAAAAAAAAAAAAAAAGAGTACTTAGCTTGTAAGGGTTCAATGTCAACTATGATTGTGAAGAAGGTGGGATGAGTGAGGATGACTAATTAGGACAAACTGCATGGAGCCCCCTGTCCCCCTCCTAGCTAACTTTTGGGTATCCACTGCCCTCCCTCTTCTCCAGCCTCCATCTCTCACTGGTCAGTGGTGTCAGCAGCTCTCTCTTCAGCCCTTTGGAGGCCCAGAAGGTCAGAAAGGCTTTAGCAGTGGTACTTGAGGTTGTTCTCTGGCCTTACTCCTATCTATGACTGGGGGCCTAGGGACAGGTTCTAGAGAAGCCTGGCTCACTTATCCCAATGCCAACCTTTTAAGACATGGAGTGCCTCTCTCCAGGATGCTTAAGGACTGGAAATACAGAACTATATCTAAATTCCAAACTCTCTTGAAGCTATTTATGTCTTAAGTCCAACCTACCCTTGGGGATAAAAAAATAGTGTAGATGACTTATGAATTCTGGAAGAGTTCTAAAATTCYCTCTCAGAGTTGTTGTTGTTTTGAGGAAGGGGGAACTGGCGATTGAACCCTCTAACACTAAGCAACATCCCTAGCTCTTATTATTTTGAGTCAGGGTCTTGCTAAGTTTCCCAGGCTGGCCTCTAGCTTGTGAACCTCCCGCCTCAGTCTCTGGAGCCACTGGGATTATAGGTGCCATCATACCCAGCTTGATGTCCTGAAGCTTGAAAAATAAATTGTTGCTCACTTTCTATCCCTCTTTTCATAGGTAATGACTTTAGTCTGTTCCTTTCAGCTGCCCACACAAGCAACCCTACACGATCCTTTCTCGGTTAGGGGTTTGCCACCCCATTGGGAGTCTCCCATTCCACCCTGAGGATATCTGGCAAAAAAGCCCCAGGAGAGCCAAGATGAAGGCTTGGGAGGACAGGGACTTCCCAACTCCCAAAAGCACAGAACACAAAGTTCTTAGCACCATTACAGACTGGCCTTCTTGGGCATCTGACATCCATTCCAGGTCACCCTCCTAATTCACTCCCATCTCTAGGGGCAGAGACTCACCAGCACTGTTGGCCTCCGACTCCAGCAGGTGGATGTCATTGCAGTCCGCCAGCGAGTGCTCCAGGCAGAGCTGCAGGAAGCGGGCTTGGGTACGGGTGACCCGCTTCAGAAGCGACAACAGGGCCACTGTCTGCTCACACTCATTCCAGCCCTTGAACCAGCCAGCGAGGATGCCCACCTGGTCTCGGAACATCATGGTGCCAGGCCTGGGGCCAGGGTGGGGGGGACGGCGGTGGCAAGGGCCAGCGCCGTCACATGGTCTCGGCTCTGGGCTCCTGTTAGCTCTCCCCTGAGGGCCAGGGCTTGAGGACGTTCCCTGGCGTGGTGGCAATGGGTGGTTAGGGGAGGAGGGGGCCTGCTCACATGGGGGGAGGTCTTGGTCCAGCCACGCCTCTCCAGGCTCCTGGAAAAGGAAGCAAAGGGATCAGAGAGAGCGAAGGAGCCAAAGCTGTCCAGGAGAGTGTGGGCTGAGGAGGTACAGAGCCCCATGCCTTACTCTTTCAGAGTACTTGTTCGAAGGAAAAAGATGAAGCCAACTTCAGATACTAAACCAACTTCCTATCAATCTCCAGGTCCAGAGAAAAGGCACTGGCACTCACAGACCCCCCCAGACACTAAGGAGAAGATGCTACCCCTTATACCGGGTTGCCAGAGGGCCAAAGGAGGTGGAGTTAAAGCAGAAAGTAAGTTGGGAAGATTTTTCAGAAAAGAAAAATAAGACAGGCTTCACATTATCTGAAAAGATCTGAATTAATGGAACATGAYAAAGAAGACATGGGACTCTGAGCACATCTCCTAACCCTGCTGGTCATTGACTCCTTCCCTCTGAGAGCTGGAACCAGTGACTACTCACATGCTGGAAGGACCCTAAGGGCTCCATAATTACTTTAAACCAAAACTTACAAGACTTGGTCAGGGGTGAACATGGGGTGGTGACCCCAGTGGAGATCTCAGGAATATAGACAGCTATTTAGTCCCTAACTGGCTGGGTACAAGTCAGCCCTTGGACATGAGCAAGAACATTCTTTTTCAAAGATTATCAATAGGCTGAGGAAATCTTACCCTCTTCAACCCAGCTTTCCTACTCTGGAAAATATACGTATCTGATCTCTAAGATACTACCTATCTCTATACAAGGTAAATTCCTCCCAGAACTCTTCTTCATTCCTCTGAAGTTTGCTTTAGACTCAAGTTCTCTAGGTTGGAAAGTCCTCTTGACTTCTAGAACACCAACCTCTCATCCAAACCCCTGAGAGCCAAGAATACACCAACCAGAGAGGAAGAGGAGAAATCAAAATTCAAAGGCTCCCAAACAAAAAGTATCCAAATTTCTCTCTTAGGCAGGAACTACACAGAGGTTGTTTCATCTGGGCAACCAACAGGCCTACCTTTCAGTTGATGATTTCTGGACACTCATTCTGAAGCCTTTTTCTTTCTATATTTTTTTAGTTGTTGATGGACCTTTATTTATTTTTAAAATTTATTTGTATGTGGTGCTGAGAATCAAACCCCATGCCTCATGCATGCTAGGCAAGCGCACTACCACTAAGCCACAACCTCAACCCCTCTGAACCCTTTTTCTAAGTTGACTTGAGCTCCAGGTCTCCAATCAATATCTCCCCCATCTGTCTCTCTCGAAACCAAAGTCCTTGGCACCATCCCCAAACCACATTCAGCTCCATAATCCTCTGGCTGCCAAAGGACAGAGTTTCCCTGGACTGAGAACTCTACACAAAGACCCACTGAACCTGTTGGGMGCAGGTCTTAGGGAGCTACTCTCATCTCCACGAAGTTCCGTCTTTGCTGAGGAGAGCTGTGAAGTACATCTGGCTGTTAACAACTCACTTGCCACACAGATCCCCTGCAGAACCCCCAAACAGAGCAAACTAGCATAGTTGTCAATACCTCTAATATAAGAAGCAGAAAAAGGTGTGASAAGATGAAACCTTGCTCCAAGTTAAAAAGCCTTCTCAAATCTTTTTAAAGGCAAAATAAGAAGTTGCCTCCCTGGCTTACAATTCTCCAATGGCTTCCCATTGCACTTAAACTAAATGCAAAAAGGCCCTCCCGAGGACTCCTGTAGCCTTTCCAACTTCATCCTGTACCAAGTTCCTTCTTGTTCACTGCACTTCTCTTCCCGTAGCTCCTATTTATTACTCAGGTTCATTCTGTCATTTCCTGAGACAGCTTCTCTAACAATCCAATCTAAGAAGACCTTCCCCAGTGACTATTTTGTATTGTTTTATTTCTTTCATATAACTCAAATACCACCTGATTTATGTTGTTTCTTTCTTCCCACCAAAATGCAAGCTATATGGACAGTCAGATCCTAGAATGGTACTTGACACACAGATGTTTGATATTTGTTAAATAAATAAATGAATATATGAAAAAAGTGAGTGGGGAAGTCACAGTGGGATTTCTACAGCCCTGAAGGAAAAGATGGTAGAAGAAATGGTCCATTGATGGACCAACCTGAGGGGAAGGGGAGATTCAAAAATCAGAAACTCTGGAGCAAGAAGTACCCAAATTCCTCTCTTAGGCTGGAACTACAATAGGTTGTTTCAAGGGATTTAGAAATCTTGTCCTAATAGGAAAAGTTTGAAGATACTAAGTTCCCTGTGGGGAAAGAGAAGACTTGGGGGAACTTGCAATACTAACTTTGAATATCTGAAGACATGGCATACAGAAGACAAGACATATCTGTTCTTTTACTCTAGAAAAAAGAGCCATCTACCAGGGTAGATAGAGAGCTCTAAGTGACAGGCAACACGGGATATGGGAAATGTTTAAAGTCAAGAAAATTTAGTTCTAGTCCTACTCCAGCCTCAGATTCACTTTGAYTTTGAAATTACATCTGCTTTTTTTCTCTGGAATGTGTGAGATAAGAGGCTGACCTAGGTCAGACATGACAAATAGGTTTTACCTCACAGGCAAACTCCAACTGATTGGTAGTAGCTGCTTGGAGCACTATGAGAGGAAGGATCCCAAAGAAATGAAGAAAATAAGACATCAATGGGGAATGAGTAATAAACTGGGGTTGCCTGTAATCCCAGTGATTTGGAAGGCTTGAGGCAGAAGGACTGATCCCAAGCTTGGGGCTAGCTTCGGCAACTTACCAAGACCTTGTCACAAAATACAATAAACAAACAAAAAAAGAAGTTGGGGATATAGCTCAAAGGTACAATGCTCCTAAATTCAATCCCCAGCACCACAATAAATAAATAAACTGGGACAGATCCCACACTATGCATTATTTAAAAACACACTTGAGCCAGGCATGGTAGCACATACTTGTAATCCTAGCAGATTGGGAGGCTGAGGCAGGAGGATCACCAATTTGAGGCCAGCCTCAGAAACTTAATAAAACCCTGTCTTGAAATAAAAAAATAAAAAGGGCGTAGTGGTGGAGTGTCCCTGGGTTCAATCCCTATTGCTGCAAAAAAGTAAAAAACAAAATGCTTGAGCAAGGACTGGTTGTCCATGCCTGTAATCCCAATTATTAGGAGGCTGAGGCAGGAAGATTGCAAGTTTGAGGCCTGCCTGAACAATTTGGTGAGGCCCTTTCTCAAAATAAAAAGGGCTGGAGATATAGCTCAGTGGTAGAGGACTCTGGGTTCAATCCCCAGTACCCCAAAACAAACAACACATTAAAAAATACAAAAATAAATCTATATCTAGTATTTGACCTGTAACTTGGAGGGATGTCCATAGATGTATGTACAATAAGATGCTATTTTTGTTTATAAAGAAAAAAGTCATACACAAAGCCCCTTATATACTAATATCTATTTGCATGTGTACAGAGAAATGTGTAGAATACACACTAGGCTAAGATTGGTCACTCTGATGAGACAGGAATGATAAACACTCTTTATGCAATTTTGTACTTTTTCACTATTTTTGTAATTTTAAAAGAATTTAAMTTTAAGAAAAAAAAACCCTGCATTCTACTTCCTGGATTAGTAAGAAAGAGTACTGGGATTAATTATCAATGTTTGCCCGGGATGCTGGGTAGATGAGTGACAGCTCACATGCCTAAAAAAATCAGTTTCCCTTCCCAGTTCCAGCATTTTGTGGCTTTTAGTCCCAAGGAGGCAACAGCTGCTTCAACATAAGGAAGAATTTTAAAATAATATATCTGTCCAAGAATGGAACTGGCTGCCATGTGAGGAGGTAATAAGCTCCCTGGCTGCTGAAGTGGTCAAACGGAGGCTGGATGAACATCCCTTGGGAGTGGGAGGGATTCCTTCACTGGGTGGCAACTCAGAATGATAGAAGGACATGTTACTATTTCAAAGGGTACATCTGTGACGGGAGGTTTGATATGCCAACAGCACTTACAGCAAAAAGATGACCAAATCCACAAACAGACCAAGCTGTGCATACTCTTTCCTTTCCCACAGWTTCTTTTACTGGGTTGTTACTTTTTCCTAAGCTATAGCACTGCATCCCTCAAATAAGCAGCTGACTAAACATTAATCCAGTTTCTTCCAGCAAAGTTTTGGGACAGAATGGGGTCTCAAATAGGACGCTGACAGGCCAGGCTTTGAACAAAGCAGGCCAACAGGAACTATGGTGAGTTGGAAAGTACACACCCTGTCTAAAGGGAGATGTCACTATTCAGCTCTGATCAACTGCTGCCATGTGGGAATGTGGGTCCAGTACCATTGAGTCTTAAGATTATTTAAAAGAAGAGCTGAAATCTGGCTTTTAAAAGAAAATTCCCTTAGTTTTAAATGTTGGAAACGAATTCAAATTAAAACAGCAACTGTGAACTACTACACAGAATAAACAAAACCTGTGGCCTGTGATCCTTGAACACATGGACACAAATTAGGATAAGACTGTCTAGTTTATAACTTTTTTAAGTCACCCATTGCTCAGGGAACATGACTGGTGGAGAGGATCTAGTGACGGAGGAGGGCGCTGACAATCTGCAGTAAATACTGGGGGCTTCAGGCAAACAGTCACTTTTAAGATTGTACTGTCAAAAAAAAAAAAAAAAATCACCCCTAGCGTTCCCTATGTTTTCAGGACAGAAGGGTGCCTTGAGTTTGGTCTGTATGGTGACTGAAAAGGAAGACTGGTTGAGATTCTTCCACTGAAGAACTAGAGGTCTTCAATCATCTCTCTCCCAGGTGCTTGGCTACAGTGAGACAAGAGGACATGGATAAGGCAGCAGCATCAATTATTATAAGACATCTCACCATAGTACCACCTTACTCTGCCTGCCAAATATCATTTCCATTTCCTGTTCCCACCATTGTGAGTTCCTCTTGGAAAAATAATGTCTTTCTTGGTTCTACAAGTGGACACAGGTAAAGTGGTTCTACAAGTGGACACTGGCTAAAGCATCCTCCTTGGACTCTTGCTGAAACAAGTGGAGAAAATAAGTTCTCA